CCCGAGAGGAGAAGGGAGGAGAAGGGATTGCGGTGTGGCCATCAACTCCTGGGGGGTGATTTCTCACTTTCTGTCTCTCTGTCTCTGTCTGTCTATCTGGTGAGTGCAAGCACCCTATAGCAAAAACCTCTCCAAAGAATTAAAAGAAAAAAAAAAAAAAGAATAACCTAAGTGTCAACATTCAAGATTGACAGGAAAGATGACAGATCACTATTGTATAAAGGAATTGAATTAAACACTCCTATCTTTAGTAGCTCTTATATGTGGGGAACACTGTTGATTTGCAAAATCATAGAAAAGGGCACGTGTATTTAGGTGAATAAAAAAATGTAGACGATATGAACATTGCATGCAAAAGAGGACACATGCAACCATTAATAGCTGTGGAAGTCAAGGACTCAGAGATGGAGGACTTTAGGGCAGGATGGGAAGTCTGATCAGAACTAGGAAATCCAGGGGCTGGCAGGTGGCGAAGAGGTTAAAGGCCCTGGATTCCCACATGACCGACTGCGGTTTAAGTCCTGGACCTGGTGACATGCTTTCCCACTTTCCCTTTTTCTCTCTGTCTGGTCAAATAAAAAAAAAAAATAACAGGGGCCAGTAGGTGGTGTGGTGGTTAAGGTGCTGGACACTCCTACATGGCCGACCACGGTTCGAGTCCTGGACCTGGTGGCTTGTTTTTTCACCCTCCCTCCCTCCTCTGTGTCTCTCTCTGGTCAAATTAAAAAAATAAATGAGTGAATAAATAAATAATTAAAAAATAATAATAACAACAAATGGAATTAAATAAGCAATTCTTAAAAAAAAAGAACTAGGAAATCTGCGAGGGAAGGGACTTGGGAAGGAAGACAAGTTCAGCCTTTGACATGATTAGTGTGATGTGGCAGGGAGACAATCCAAGGGTTGTAAAAAGCAGGAAATATGAGTTAGGATTTTGAGAGAGAGAGAATACAGAGTGCTGGCAGCTCACATCATCAGCATTCTCAGGGACCTCGGAACACTGTCGTGGGAGGAGGTCTGGCACCTGGACAGCACTCCTGGTTGACTTCATCAGCCTCATAAGCCACAGGAAAGCAATTTCGTCATCCCAAACTGGATGTCTTTTAACCTCTGAACTTCATCTGGCAAAGACTGGAATTAAGAACAATGTGAAGCATCAAAAGTCTGAGTTTCATGTCTTGCTTTCTTTTTTTTCCTTTCCTTTAAGAGAGATTTTTACTATAGGGTGTGCTTGCCAGAGAAACAGAGAGAGATAGAAAGCAAGAAATCACCCCCCAGGGGGATGGCCATGCTGTAATCCCTTCTCCTCCATTCTCCTCTCAGGATCTTGGGCATGCACCCACGTGTACCTGGTGTGAGTTTGAAGCTGCTGGGTCCAAGACTCAAACTGTGGTCAACTACATGGGAATCCAGCAATGTAATTGTTACACCATCCTCTGGTCCCATGTCTTTCTTTTTTAAAACTCCTTTGCATTTTAGGGGCATCATGCCTTATTTGTGTTTTGTTTTAGTTTGTTGGGGGTAGGGAGAAGGGAAGTGAGAAATCACCCCTTAGAGTGGATGGCCCCTCCTCAATACGTTTTCCTCTTGGGATTTTGAGCATACATACCTGGTGCCTGGTGTGTTTTCAAGCTGTTGGGTCCCAGACTTGAACTGTGCAGTCGCCTATTGGGCCTTGCAGAATCCAGTCGCCTTAACCCCCACATCGGCCACCAGCTGGCCCCCTGCCCTGTCTTTGGCTCTAACATTTTGTTACTCTCTCATGTTTTTGTCTAACATGTTTATTTAACTACCCTTTTTTAGGTCTGTATACAGTTACCTTTGTACAAGTGCATTGATTGATCCGGGGAATTAGGTGCCTTTTAACAGCTGTGATGAATATTGAAGTTGGAAAAGGAAGAGGAGCTAAGCGAAGCTGACTTTGGGTAGCCAGTTCTACCCCGTTTTGCAGCCTCCTCCCCTTTTTGCTTGTGTGTGACAAATTCTAAGATTTAAGACCGTTATGGAAAGAAGGGTGAGTCTTTTGGGAATTCTTTCATTCTCTTCCTCTCTAGGACAGCTCAAAGATCAAATCACTGTCACCCTATGCAAGAAATGTGGGAATCCAAGGCTGTAAACCACTCACCCACACAAAGTACTGCTTTGAATAGTAGTTTCTCATTACATATGTAATTTATTACAACGTATTCCTCATTTTCTCCCCCTAGAGCTGTCAAATCCCTGCTCAGTCAGTACTGGCTAAGTTCCGTGTTAGATGACCTTGCTTCAAAATGGGTAAAGTATGACCTCCGGCTACACTCTTCTTTCTTGTGGGGAGGCTGGGAAGTTCCTTAAGCTGTGTGCCTTTCCACTAGACTATCCTTGAAGGCAGGTAATACTCTGTGGATCTCTATAGAACTGCAGTGTGGGCTTTAAAAATTCCCAAGGCTGGGGCCAGGGAGTGGTGTGGAGCTTACCAAGCTAGATCCCACTTGGTGGACTGGACAGCCAGGATATCTTCCAGGAACAAGCGTGGGTGCCCAACAGCCTGAGAGGAGAATGGGGGGGGGGGGTCCTTTCTCACTTTTCTTCTCCCTCTCTTTGTGCCTCTCCAGTGAGCCTGTGTCCTGAAGCAAAAAAAATATATAACTAAATTAAAAAGTCAAAGCTGGATTGTCCAAAAAGTATACAAAGGTGACTTGTTTACAAGCCATCCTTTAGTCTTTGTTTTTTATTCATTTAATTCCATGTGTCATTATTACTTTTTAATTTGACCAGAGAGAGAAAGAAAGGGAAAATGAGGGGAGCAGCAGGTATGTAATGGCTATGTCGCTGGACTCCCACGTAGTTGCCTGCAGTTGGAGTCCCGGACCAGGTGGCTTAAACTCACGCCAGGCGCATGTGCCTGCGTGCCCAAGATCCTGAGGGGAGAATGAAGGAGAAGGGATTCTGGCCTGGCCATCTCCCTGGGGGATCACTGTCTCTCTGTCTTTCTGGTGAGCGCACTCGCCCTGTAGCAAAAACCTCTCCAAAAAAACAAAAAACAAAACCCGGGGAAGTGAGAAAGCAAGCCGCCAGGTCCGGGACTCAAACCATGGTCTATGGGTATCCAGCGCCCTTAACCACCACGCCACCCAAAGGCCCCAACTTTAGCCTTAAAACGTGGTGATGCATTTCCAGATCCTTTTTGCTGAACTAGCCCAGCAACTCCCTATTTAGTTGGGTCCGCGCCGCGTTAAGACTCACCACATTTTCTTTTCCTTCTTTCTTTCTTTCTTTTTTTTTAATCATCTGGTGCTCTAGGGACTACAGCCTCCGGGGCACCCTTTGCTCGCCCCGGACATTTTTGGTTAAGTGCTGCCTCCTGGCGGCCGCTCTGCTGCTTGACACCTCCGGAGCCCAGTGGAGACCACTTGCTTTAATTTGGAATGTGGAGGCTGATGCAACAGCTCCCGGGATAAGGGCGGGGAGTCCGGGAGCCGGTAGAAGTGATTGCCTTCCCGGGAGACCCCCTGCGCCGGCTCCGAGCAGGCTCCACCCCTGCCCCCCCATGGGGATTCCCAGTCCAGGGTTTGGGGTTCTCGCTCAGACTCAGGTTGGACCGCCAGGTCGAGCGGGCTAGGGAGGGAGGGAGAGTAAGCCGAGCGAGCGTTCGTCTCGAAGCGTATCAGCGGTCATTTTCATTTCCCCCAGGCATAGCAGAGGTGCCCAAGCGAGGAGAGGGCAGGGGGCCAGGTTGCGGGGCCTCTCGGTTCTCTGGCCTTAGTTCCCTTTGGATGCATATCCACAGCATACCCCGCTAGCGCTTCCTAGAGCCGAGCGAGGCTGGTGGTAAAGGAAAGGACGCGGGGGTGGGGGGTGTCTAAGTCTCCCAGACGTCAGGGGCGACCCAGCCGTCAGAGGGGCATTGAGGGCGGATGGCGGCTGAGCTGGGGCTTGAGAAGGAAAGGTCTTAGAGGAGCTGACACAGACCGGGAGCCTAAGAAAGAGGGGAAGTAAAGGGAGGCGGCGGGGACCCCTGAAAGCGAAGGTTGTAGGGCAGTGTAGCAGAAGGGGGCAAAGGTGAGCGAGACCAGCGGGCCGGGCGGGGGAGGGGAGGGGACGGGAAGGTCGGGGGATGGGCCTGCGCGGACTGCGGGGGAGGAGGGGCGGGGCCGCCCGGGCTGCGGGGAGGTCCGGGAAGAGTGAGCTGGGAGGCTGCGGCATCCTCTTCCTGAGCCCACCTGCATTTGCGGGAACGGAGCGCTCGCCCCCCTCGGCCTTCTGTTCCTTGGGCCATAGCATCTCGCTCTCCCACTTTCATGCCACACTCAGACCAGTCACCTGAGTCTGGGCGTGGGAGAGAGGCCCTGGGAGCTTCCTCGATTGGGGGAAAGAGCTTTAGGTGGCTTTTATTTTTTATTTTATTTTATTTTTTTGCTTTTCCCGAGAAAGAAATTAAGTCAATTTCATACCATTCTAGGCCTCCCAGTAAAAGTGTGAAAACCATACTCTACACCTCCCCTTCAACCCATTACTACCAAAAGAATAAGTACCTGCCTAGAAGCCTTGAGTAGCAGCCTAGTGGGGGCTGGAGGGCAAGTTCCAGGACGTGCCTAGGAGCCCAGCCCCCTGGGAAAACAGTGATGGAGGGATGGCCTTGTTCATTCATTAATTCTTCAAGTAAACATTTATTGACGGTATGAGCCCTGCACTGGGGGGTAGGGTGGTGGACAAAGCTCTAGTGATGCAAGCCTGGAGGGGAGGTGACAGTAGAGTAACAGTTGGAATGAGAAGTATCACAGGGAAGGACGGTCCAGGCAGGGAGAAAAGGAGCTGCAGAAGTTCTGAGGAGGGGGCATGCATGGTGACAACGTGGAGCCAACCTGGCCATGTGGAGTGAGGGAGACACCAGGGGCCAGAGCCCACAGGGACAGCATTCTGCCCCTCTTCCTAGGACTTTCCTCACTTCTACCTTGAACCTGGCCATGAAGGTGCAGGTCACCTGGGGAGCAGCCTGAGTCTATAAAGGCCTGGAATAACTGAGATTTTTGATGCCTTGAACTCTGATTTCTGTGTCTCCCGGTGAAATGTAAGTTGACTCCCATCCAATGACCTAAGTCCTGGATGGCTCCTTACCTGGACTCTCTGTCTTTGGAGTAATTTTGCAATATGCAGGTGAAAGTTGCAGGGTATAACCCAGGACCAGCCAGCTGACATTCACCTAAAGGCAGCGGTCACAGCCGGAATTCTGAAAATGCACGATGCACGGTGAAGTGCTACTCCCTCAGAACTAGGTTTATGCTATTGACTTCATTGTAAGTGGTTTAAATGCTGACCAAGAAGACCAAGAAGTTGCCTGCTTCAGAAAATTGCATGTGATGCATTCATGTAATAATGTCTGATTTTGAATACAAAGAAAGGCTTACACAATTGTTACTCTGAGAAAATTGGTATTCCCCCACTTCAGCTGAGTAAACATGGAACAGATACTAAATAACACTGGTTTGAAGGAGTGCCAGCTCATTAGCTTGCCCAGGGTGCCACAGCCCAGTTGGCTCTTACCTGGTGACAGACGCATCACCCTCACCAGAACCAGTTGGGATCTGAGTGGGCTTGCTTGGTGCTAGGGTATGCACTTGGCTGTACCCCCATGGTTGGCCTTCCCTGGCTTGTATTAGGGGCCCAGAGGGCACGGAAGCTCTTGGGATGGGACTGCCAAGTTGCATGGCCCTCTCCCTCACCATGGAATCTTATGCTATCTGCAGGACTGAGTGGGACATGAGTCCAGAATGGAGGGACGGGGAGAGGGAAGTTGTAAGAGGCCTCAGGAGGTCACTATACATTGCAGGGAAAGCGTAAGTGCTTTGTCAACCCCGGGGTTATGAGGAAGAAAGGGGCCTGGGGTGGGGAGGGGGAGGAGCTGAGATGGAGAGAAGGTGCCTGGAGGCCAGCGGGCTTCGAGGTCTGCTGGGTCTAACCAGGCAGTCCCAGCTCCAGCCCGCCCCTGGCCCCTCCCTGCTGCCGGCTGGAGTCACACATGTGTTTTCCTGTTTTCCATTTCGGTCCCCGTCACCCTCTGCCTTTTCTGCTCCTCAGAGTCAACAGCTGCTGCAGCCCGTGCCATACCCCGGGTTCCCCTAACTAGCACCTTCCCCTCCTCCTGACCGAGCTGGTAGCCCCTCCTGCCCGCACCTGCCCAAAGGTCACGGGACAGGTAAGAGGTGGGAGAAGAGGGACGATGGGCTAGAGGGGAAGTGCTGGAGGATGGAGGAGCCCTGAGAGTCCGCTGAACCCAGACCCTAGCCTCCTCTTTTCTGGTCCCCGCCCCTGCCCTCCCTGGGCAGAAATCTCTGCCCAGAAACTCTAGCCTTCGTTAATGGAAGCCTGACCACAGGAGTAAACAATTTCTGCTTTGTTTCACTTCTTTTTTTAAGGGACGGTCTTAGCTACCGTGGAATATAGAAAAACAAATGGAGAATTGGGGAGGGAGGCGTGCGCCCGTAGCTGGGAGTGATGGGGAAATGTGGCCACAGCAGAGTGTGTCTGTCTGAGTCTGAGTCCGTTGTTAGGGGAGGCAGCTCCGACCAGCTAGAGCCAGCAAGGCAGGACTCGGGGGCGCTGGCGGAGAAGGCGTGTTCTCCCAGCAGCTCCCTGAGCATGGTCAAGGAGCCAGTCCCTGAGCTGTATGCTAGTTGCTGGGAGAACTGTGTTTTGGGGTTGCCCTCTGAGAGAGGGGCTCAGAGCTCCACTGGCCACTCTGCTAGGAAGAGCATGCTGGGGGCTCTGCTGCCTGCCGCCTACTTCCATGAACCCTTGAGGCCGGAGCTTCCTTCCCAGGCTGTCTGATGAGTGCGTTGCACTGTCACCGCCACTCGATCCTCAGGGACAGGCGTGCCGTAGATGTGAGAAGATGACAAGGGGCGCTGTTGTCTTTGGGCTTTCTCTTGTAACTCCTGTGGTGGGATTGCCTGGGGGGGTGCTGCTGGTCCTAGGGTTACGTGTATGGTGAGAGCATTACCCCAAGCCTGTGAGCTGCTAAAGGGGGTGCCTTCCGGCTCAGGGTGCTAGGCAGTGGTTGAGAAGAGGGGGGCTTCTCTCCATGAACGGCAGCGTCCCCTGCCCGGTGTGTGTGGGACAGAGACTCTACTCGCGGTACTTCCAGAAGGACCAATAGGGGGTGCTGTTTGCTGGAGTGTGGATCTCCACTCCAGACGCCTTCACTTCTCAGATGTCACTGGTCAGGGACTAAACCTTGCACGCTTCTGTCCCCACGCTCCGCTCCGTCATAGTTTTCCCTCCTTCTGTCTCCCCTTTGCTTTTTTTCTTTACTCACGTTAGGACACATGCCCACCCCTTGGTGCCAGTGAGTTTGTTCTTAAAAGGGCAGACGTGAGGATGTGTTCTCATCGGGTTTTGTTTGCTTTAAAAGAGGGCACCCTGGAACCAGCAGTTAGCGTAATGGCTATGTCGCTGGACTCCCACGTAGTCGACCGTGGTTCGTGTCCCGGACCCGGTGGCTTAAAACTCACGCCGGGCGCATGTGCGTGCGTGCCCAAGATCCCGAGAGGAGAATGGAGGAGAAGGGATTGTGGCGTGACCATCCCCCCCGGGGGGTGATTTCTCGCTTTCTGTCTCTATGTCTCTCTCTGTCTGTCTGGCGAGCGCACGCGCCCTACAGTGAAAATCTCTCAAAAAAAAAAAGAGGGCACCCTATGATAGCAGTGCTGCCAAGAGGCCTTGTAATTGCCTCTCACCCCTGCAAAGAGGGAGAGAAGGGGAGGAGCAGCCAGGAAGGAGGTGGAGCTTTGCTCACTCCCTTAGCCTAGGCTACAGGATGGCAGGGGCTTTCTTTTTAATCTAATCACATCCTTCTCCAGGTAATTCATTAAGGAGCCACCTGAAAGTACTTTCCTGTCTGACAGGAAGGCCTAGAGACCAGGGCTGTTTGGGGGTGGAGAGATGGGGAGATACTATAGCTCTGTGATTAAGATAGTGGACTCAGGACAGGCAGGCGGTGTGATGGTTAAATGTGCTGGACTCCTACTTGGTTGACAGTGGTTCAAGACCTGGACCTAGACATTTGTTTTCTCACTTTCTCTCTCTCTCTATCCCTCTCTGGTCAAATAAAAAAATAAATAACATGGGAACCAGCAGTTAGCATAATGGCTATGTCGCTGGACTCCCACGTAGTCGACCAC